AGCGTGTCGAGGAAGGGGGGGGGGGTGGGTGTACTGTGAGCGGCAGGCTACTGACAAGGTGGGGGGTGGGTGTACTGACAAGCGCGGGGTGGCTCGAGGTGGGCCGGGGTGGGGTCAGGCAGCGGACAGGTGGCAAGCGCTAGCGAGGAATATACCCTGTGATTCGATGCCAGGAGGTTGCACGTTGCCGCCGGCGGCGGCTGTGCACGTGCGTGTGTGCCCCATCCACCCCCTCTCCCCCGCCCCCGCAGGCCTACCTGGCCTTTGGCGATGCCAGCTACCTGGACATGTTCAAGGAGGTGTACGCCGCCGCCATGACCAACCTGCAGCTGGACCCGCAGTGGAACGGGCACGTGTGGTGCGTTGCGCAGTGACTTCGCCAGTAGCAAGTGGTTTTTAAGCTGTTTGCGGAGATAACGGCGCAGGGCGGCGTGGCGGCAGCTTGCGTAGGGCATTTGGGTGGGGTGGGTGGGGTGGGGGGCACGGCATGCGGCAGAAAGCGGAGGCGGGGGGCGTGACGGGAGCCGCGGCTGCGCGCCGCGCAATGTTTGCCCGTGGCACGGTTGTCACGCGTGCCTTACCTGGCGGCGCCGCGCTGCACTGTGCCTGCAGGCTGGTGGATGTGGACATGCAGGCGGGGCAGGTGCTGCACCCGTACGGTAAGCCAGCAGGGGGTGGCTGGCGGCTGGAGGGCACGTGTTGCGGCACGGGCAGGTACCAGTGACAGGAGCTTGGCGGCACGGCGGCCCACCGCCGCCTCTGGCATCTCACCTCTGCTGCTGCTGGCGCCGCCGTCCCTGTGCAGTGTGGAGCCTGGGAGCCTTCTGGCCTGGCCTGCAGGCGCTGGCAGGCAAGCCGCCCCGCGTGCCCGCTGCCAGGCCGGCCGGCCTGCACCTTGCGGGCAATGGTCAGGAATGCCGCTGCTGCGGCGCGTCTTCTCCCTGCATCTGATTCGCCCTGCTGTGGTTGTGCTGTGCGGCGGTGCAGGCCAGGTGGAGGAGGGCACCGCTCTCCACGCCAACTGGACCTCCGCCTGGAGCAAGTTTGGGTGGCTGCCGGAGATGTTTGATGTGGGGATGGAGAACCGGCACCCCACTGAGACAGGTGGGCCAGGTGGCGGGGGCCCTCCCTCCCTGCGGCCAGCCTGCTGCCTCCCCGGCCGCCCTTCTGGGCGCCGCCTCTCCCTCCCAGCTCCAGCCCCAGCCCCGGCCCCAGTCCAGCGCCTGCCTCCCGCCTGCCCGCCCGCGCAGGCTACCCGCTGCGCCCCGAGCTCATGGAATCTACCTTCCTGCTGCACGCCGCCTCTGGCGACGAGCGGCTGCTGGGCATCGGCGCCGCGCTGCACCAGCAGCTGCGCGACAGGAACCGCGTGGCCTGCGGCTATGCCAGCGTGGGCGACGTCAGCACGGGGCAGCTGGAGGTGGGGCTGGGCTGGCGGGTGGGCAGGCGGGGCTGGCTGCGGGCGGCCCGGCTGGAGCGCCAGGCCCCACTTCACGCCTGCCCTGCGGCCTGCGCCTGAAACCTGCAGCTCGCCGCCTCGCCGGCGGCAGCACAGAACAGAGCTGCGGGCATGCCGTAAAACGCATGTTGTACCGCCTGCTTGTACCGCCTGCATGTACCGCCTGCATGTACCGCCTGCAGGACACCATGGAGAGCTTCTTCCTCAGCGAGACGGTCAAGTACCTGTACCTCCTCTTCTCCAACGCCTCCGCCCTGGTGGACCACTTCGTGCTCAGCACAGAGGTGAGCTGGCGGGGGCGGGCGCATACCTCTCGATACCTCTCGTCACCCAGCAGGGGGCCCAGGCCTGAGGCGGGAGCGGCTTCAGGGCTGCCTGCCCAGCCAGGAACACCTGCCGCAGCTTCCTGGCCGAGCTGCGCTGGTATATGAAAGCTGTGCTTGCTTTCATGTATATGCTTTCATGTATATGAAAGGGCTGTTATGTATGTATGACTGTGTGTGGTGCAGGGCCACCTGCTGCCTCCCTTCCCGGATACTCTGGAGGAGGCGGACAGCGAGGCGGGCGCCCTGCTGCTGCACCAGCAGCGCCACTTGAACGCCAGCCGCAACGCCAGCGGCACGCCGCAACCCCGGGGCGGTGGCAGCTCGCGGGGGGCCGGCCCGCCGCAGGGCAGCCCATTGGAGGAGCAGCAGCAGCAGCTGGAGCGGCAGCGCAGGGCGCAGGGCATGTGCTATTGGAGCGAGGCCCCCGAGCGGCGCAAGCAGCAGGAGCAGGCCGGGCAGCCTGCGGCGGGCGGCGGCGGCTTCAGCGGCGGCCAGCCGGAGGTGGATGAGCGGTGGGCGAGCCAGGTGGCGCTGTGGGTGGCGGACAAGTGCCGCCACCTGTGCCGCCGCGACCAGCAGGCAGCCACGGCGCACCAGCAGGCGGCGCAGGCGCTGCACGCGGCGCTGCCGCTGCTGCCGCTGCCGCCCGGCGCGCCCGGCCTGCTGCGCCAGCGCCGCTGCACGGCATGCCGCGAGGTCAGCGCCGCTGTGCGGCACGCCGAGCTGGCCAAGGCGCACGCCAGCCTGCAGGCCAAGCGCGCCAAGGAGGCCACGGCGGCGGCCAAAGTCGGGCTCAGCAACCTGCCGGCGGTGGCCGCCAGCGGCCTGGCGGTCAACCGACAGTTCCTGTGTGTCATGGAGGTGCGCGGGTGGCCTGGTGGGGCGAGGACCGTTGCCTTTTGTCTTTTATTAGTGGGGTTCAGGCGAGGCCCGAACTGGGATGGGGTGGCTTGGGGGCCTCGCCGGCCCGACCACAGGCGCCGGACTGGCGCCTCCCGTGCCGGCGACGGCCGCATGCCCGGCAGGCCGCGGGGCGCTGCCCCTCATCTCATGCGCCCGCTCCCTCCCCGGCCGTTTGCCGCGGCTGCAGGACACGCGGCGGGGCTCCCTGGGGTGCGGGGTGTTCAAGGAGATTCCCGCCCGCCAGATCCCGCAGTGCCGCCTCAACGCTCTGCCTCAGAACTACATGCTCATACAGCTGACCGACCCGCCGGCAGAGGCGCAGGCGGCGGCGGCCGCGGCGGCGCAGCAGCAGCAGCAGCACGAGCCGCCGGGCTGTGTGGCGGAAGGTGGGGCCCGCGCCGCGCCCTGCCCTGCCCTGCCCTGCACTACGCTGCTTCTCTGCGGCTGCGCCTGCCGGCGGCCCCGGCTGGCTGTGCCCGCCTGTGGCGTCAGCCACGCTGCAACGCTGCCCTGCTCTGCCGCTGCTGAGGCTGGTTCTGTGGTGCTGCAGGAGGCGAGGTGGCGGAGGCAGCTGTGGGCTACCAGGCCACAGTAGAGATGGTGCTGCCAGACGGCGGCAGGCGCCGCTTTGAGGGCATGCTGGCAGACTTTGGCCCGGTGTTTGAGCCGGGCTGCGCCGAGGAGACACAGGACTGGGAGAGCGGCGGCGGCGGCGGCCATAGCAGCAGCAGCAGCAGCGATGGCGCGGGGGGCGCAGAGCAGCCGGCCGGCGCGCCGCCGCTGCCGCCGGCGCAGCCGCAGCACTACCGGGGGCGGCGGCTGGAGGTTCGGGAGGGTGGCGCGGGGGGGCAGCACCACCGGCTGGTGTATGTGACCGATCCTGTGGAGGAGGAGGACGATCCTTATGCAGACCCAGATGAGGAGGAGGAGCAGCAGCAGCAGCAGCAGCAGGCGTCAGCGGGAGCCAGCAGCCCCGGCACGAGCAGCGGCAGCCGCGCAGCCGGCGACAAGGCGGCGACGGCGGCCGCGGCGGCGTCAACAGCAGCAAAAACGGCGGTGGCGGAGGAGGAGGAGGAGGACGAGGAGGTGTATGAGGATGGGGAGGACGACTCGTACAACGGCTACACGCCAGCCGGAGGCGCGGCCGCCGACTTTCCGTCCATGGTGCTCTGCTCAGCAGAGGCGTATGCCGCGGCGTCAGACCCCCTTAACGCCTGCTCCAAGCTGCGCAACGCGGCGCAGCTGGCGGGCCGAATCGCCGTGGTGCAGCGCGGCGGGTGAGCGCGCTGGGCGGGCCGCCCGCCGGCCGCGCCTGCCGTTGTCCTGGCCGGCTGCTGCCGCCCCCGCATGCCTGCCCTCCTTTACAAGCATGCCCACGTGCACGCGCGCGGCGCACATACATATGCTTCCAATGCGCCGCGCTGACAGCCCCTCTGCCGCTGCCGCCTGCACGCCACGTGCCCTCCCCGCAGCTGCATGTTTGTTGACAAGGCGCTGGCGGCGCAGCGGGCGGGGGCGGTGGGCGTGGTGGTGGTCAACACAGAGGACCAGCTGATGGCAATGGGCACAGACCAGCAGGGCAGCCAGAGCGACGTCTCCGCGGTGCTCATCCCGGGGGCCGACGGCGACGCGCTGCTGGGCGCGCTGCACGCGGCGGCGGCGACGGTGCCGGCGGCGTGCGGCTGCGGCTGTTCTCGCCGCGGGAGGCCGCTGCGGCGGCCGCCGCGCACGACCGGTGCGCGGCAGCGGGCGGGCTGCGCGCGGGGCGGGGGCCCGCGGGCGGCCGTGGCGCCGCGCAGGCGGTGCAGCAGCAGGTGGAGCTGGTCATGTCTCCCCAGGCGCAGCTCTGGCTCTTCAACAAGGTGGCGGCCAACAGCAAGGACCCCAGCGCGGCCTTCTCCAAAATCCTGGGCCAGATACAGGCGCACTTCCAGACCGCGGCGCTGAGCGCAGACGAGGAGGAGGAGGAGGGCGGCGACGAAGAGGAGGGCGGCGCGGAGTGAGCAGCTGCTGCAGGCGGGGCGCGTCCCACGACAGCGCTCCGCCTGCGGTGCCGCCGGGCTCTCCCGTAGCTCCCGCCCCTTGTTGCCTCTGCACTGCGGTGTACTGCCTCCTGCCCTGGAGGTTGTGCCCTACATTGTTCCTATCATATTGCGCTGTGGGACTGAATGCAACGCCCCGATAGTCAGGGCTGCTCGGCTAGCAGACGTGCGCATTGAGCGGGTGGAGGCTGGAGCGCGGCACAAGCAAAGAGCTCCCGCAGCTATCCCCGGGCCGCCCGCTGCCTTGGGACTTTACACCAGGGGGCCAGTTGGCAAGGGTGGATCAAACCGACACTGCCAGGGATTCATGGCTGCGCCGCCGTTCCCGCAGCTGGTGCCCCGCTGCGGCAGGCAGGGCGGCTGCATGGGTGCTGCCCGGCGCAGCGGCGCCGCTGCCGTTGCCGACGTGCCCTGCTGCGGGCTCACTCCCGTCGCTGCCTTTCTCGCTCCCGGCATGGCTGCCTGGCGGCGGCTTGTGGCCGCTCAGCTCCGCAGCCAGCAGGCTCTTCTGGCTGGCGCTGGCTGCGGCGACGGCAGCTTCTGCTCGCCGCTTCGTGCGGCTGCCCAGCGGGCCGTAAGTGTCGTAATAGAATTTGAACAGTATCAGCGCGAACCCGCAGGCTGCAGGAAGTGGGCAAGGGAGGCTCTCTTGCTCTGCATCTCTGGAGGCTCTCCTGACGCTGGCAAGCATCAGGCCCTAGCGCAAAAGTGTTTTGGACTCACCCGTCTCTATAGATTCACAGATCCAGCCGACCGTGGCCTTCTCCAGGTAGAGGTACACCGTGATGAACAGCAGGCCGATGGTGTAGAGGATGAGGTAGGCGTAGCTCAGGTCGGCCGCCGACTTGGTGCGCCACAGCTTGATCAGCTGCGGGGCGGGGACCCGGCGGCGGCGGCTCGTGAGATCATGCAAGCAGGAGTTTGAGGGCCCATGGAAAAATGCAGGGGACGTGCGCTGGCTGCAGGGCCAGTGCGCTGGAAGCAGCAGCGCGCCCGGAGCATGGTGCTGGCACCAGCTGTCGGTACGGCCGGGCAAGCGCGCACCTGCGGGGCTTGGCAGATGGCCAGCACCACGCCGCCGATGATGCCCAGAATGTTGATGACGGTTTGCGAGGGCATGGCGGCTAGCTAGGGTGCACCACACTGCAGCTAATGGGTCGCTTCAGCGTCCTCGCTGGTGCGACGGCCACGCAGCGCACCACCGCCCCTTGCAGGTAGCCGCCGTGCAGCGGCGGTGCCGCTGGCCTCACCACCGCCGGGCTGCCGGTGCTTGCTACCCGCTCGCTTATCCTGTGCAGTCTCTGCTGGATGGAGGAGCTGTCAATGGGCCAGCATGCGGATGCCGAGCGGCAAAAGTTGCAAGGCCACAGACAATTGGTGTCGCAGCAGAAGTGTTGGTCCGGATCAAACAGTTGCTTGCGGCAATGGCTCCTGCAAGCCTGCCTGGCAAGGCAGCGGCGATCATGGCACCGGCTTGCCATTGTCCAGGTCGGCTCCGCGGGACCCCTTTGAAGACTAGCTGCCCTGTCGCTCAGGCCACAATGTGGAGTTAAGATCAAGATGCTGGAGAGCTTATGAACGCCAGCAATCGCCGCCGAGCGTTTGCCCCCCGCCGCCCCGACCCCACAACGCGCTGCCACCACCTGACCGCACTCAGCAGGCCTGTGTGAGGAGCGGCGTTACCACCAGCGGCTATGATGTCTGAATGAAAGAAGAGGGGATCCAGGAGGGGAATGAAACAAGCCAACAGTAGCCGAACGATAGCAGGGGGTCAGGTTTCGTGCGTTGCGTTTTGCGTTCTTCTCTTCGAATGTGCGACCCGGCATGCCTTTGGGGGAAAAGTGGGGGGCAGGCGCCAGAGGGCGAGGTCTTTGCGGGTGCCCTCCCTGGCAATCAATCAATCCAATCAAAACGACCTGCCGAGCGTTTGCAGTACGAGAAACAGGGGGAGAGGGGGCCCGGGGGGGGGGGCGGGCCGGGGAAGGGGTACAAAACAGGCGCGCCGGCACGGGCGCCGCGCGGGCGCAGCCGGCCCCGGCATCGGCGCCAGCTTGGGTTCGGTTTGGGGCGGCTCACTTCAGCTTGAGCACCAGGGTGGTGACGTCGTCGGTGCTGCCGGCCGCCACCGCCTGCTTGTTGAGCTCGGCGGCAATGTCGTTGCAGGGCTTGGAGGCGAGCTTGGAGCAGATGGCCACCACATCCTCATTGCTGCAGGCGGGCAGGGGGCAAGGGCAGGCAGGGGGCAAGGGCAGGCAGGCAGGGGGAGGGTTGGTGGGTGAGGACCCAGAGTGTAAACGCAAGCTGTGGCCTCGGCCAGGCAATATACCAAACACATGCACACATCGACGCCAAACAGGCGGCGTCGCTGAGGGCTGCATGCGCGGCCGCACTACACGGCCGCTGGCAGCACCTGCGCCGGCGACAGCCTTGCTGCCCCCTGCTCCCGCCCCGCAGCCCCCGCACCTGAGGCCGCCGCCGCCGCCACGCTCCTCGTTCGCCAGCAGCCCGTCTGACGACACGATGATCCAGCCATCCTCCTCTGTGAGGTCGGTGACAGAGGTGTGGGGCTCGGCAATCACGCCTGGCGGGTGGCGGGGCGCGGCGGGGGTGCAGGGGTCGGGGTGCAGCAGGCGTCACGTAGGGCCCGAGAGCGGAGCTCACAAGGGCGGGCAGCCGGGCGTCGGGAGCGTCGCCGCGGCACGGCGCAGCCGCCCGGCCGGCGGCCGCACAGCTGCCTCGCACGCACCACCTTCACCACGCCACCACATCACAGCAGCAACGACGCACACCTCCAGAGCACAACTCTTTTTTCCCTCTCCAGCGCGCACACTAGAAAACCACGCGCCCACCCACCCACCCACCCACACACATACATGCCACCCCACACCGCCCCACACCATACGGCTCACCAAAGCCGGAGGCGTAGGAGTCTGAGGCGTAGAAGGACACCCCCTCAAACTGGTCGCTGCCCTTGAGGTACGCGTCGCCAAAGGCGCGGGACAGCGCCAGCAGGCCGCCCACGCGCCAGGTGCCGCCCACGTAGCGCACCTGCAGGGTGCCGGGTGGAGGGGGGAGAGAGTGGGGAGAGAGTGGGGAGAGGCGAGGTGGCAGGGCTGGGGCAGGGCAGGCAGGGAGGGGCGGGCGGGTGGCGGGCAGGTGAGGAGGCAGCGGGGGGTGTGCGGGGAGGGAGGCGGCACGGCAGGCCAGGCAGGCCAGGCAGGCGGGGCAGCAGGCGGGGCGGCAGGCGATGCGGCAGGTGTGACTGTCAGGGAGCGCGGCGGCGGGCGCACCAGCGGCATCTTCTTGTTGGGGTTGTACCGCTCGATGCGGTTGCGCTCCACCTCGTTGTCTGCGGGAGGCAGGGAGGCGGGGCGGCGCAGGGGCGTCGTGCATTGGGTGCCGGGAGTGAATGCAGGCGGACACTTGCCAGGCGGAGCGCACACGGGTGAGCTTGCGCTGCCACGCCGCTGCTCCTGCTGCCGAGACCGCGCCGCGAGCGCATGCACGGCCAGAGGAGGAGGAGGTGGCAGGTGGGTGGGTGCGCACCTGGCACGTGGTCTTCGGTCAGCTGGATGGCCTGGCCGCCGCGCACCAGCAGCACGCGGGCATCCCCCGAGTTGGCCACCAGCAGCTGGCTCTTGCCCTGCAGGAGGCGGGGAGGCGGGAAGGCGGGGGGTGGGGGTGCAGGCGCAGGCGCAGGCGCGAGCGCGGGCGCGGGCGGCAATGGGCAGGAGGCGCTGCTTTCCCGCGAGGCGCCGCCGCGGGTCGGAGAGCCCGCGACAGGCGGCAGCTGCCGTCGCCGCCGACGGCCGTGGGCTCATCACTCATTTGCGCCCCTACAGCTGCGCACGCCCCCACAAGGCCCTTGGAGACCCCCACCTGGTGCTTGTAGATGAGCGCCACGGCGGCGGTGCTGCCGCACTTGCTGCCGCCGATGCCGCGCTCGCCCACCATGCCCATGAAGCCGCCCTTGGGAGCCAGGATTTGCTGCGGGGGGGGCGGGCAGGGGGGGCCGCGGGGCGTGGGGGACAGCGGCGGCGAGCGCAGGGCTCGGCGGGGCGGGGAGGCAGCCCATGCGGGGCTGCCGTGCCAGGCTGGAAGCTGTGCGGGCTCGGGTTTGGGCCGGGGTGCGGGTGCCGACACACGCCGCCGCCCCGCAGCCCTCAGCTGGGCGCCTCGCTTCCTTCCGCAGCCTGCCGCGCCCGCGGCGGCCGCTTTCCCTGCGGGGGCCCCACCCGCCGCCCCACCTTGTCTGCCTGGATGAATGCCTCGGTGATGGCCTTCTCAGGCGCGTTGGCCCCCTGCCAGTACTTCTCCACATACTTGAGCAGGTTGGCGGTGAGCCAGTCGGCCGTACCCGCGCCGCCGTGGCCGTCAAACACCGCGGCGTACACCTCAGGCATGCCCTCCGCCACCGCCGCCTCCGCCACCTGCGCCCGGGGCAGGGGTTGGCCGATGCGGGGTGAGTGGACGGGCAGGCAAGGGGCAAGGCGACCGGCAGCAGTGTGTACAGTTGTTGGCGCATAGGAAGAACGGGCGGCTGGGCGAGCATGCAGCCCTGCAGCGCGCCTCACCTCTAGCTGGTAGCGGTCCTCGTTCTGCTTGCTGCAAGGGGGAGCAGGGCGGGATGGGGGGGGGGCGGCTCAGCAGCAGGCAACAGCGTGGGTCGCGCTCCGGGCCACAGGCAGCGGCGGCAGCGGCGGCGGGGTTTCAGCGCCTGCGGTTGTGCGCCCAGCTGCAGCGCAATTCATGATCTGCATGCACTGCACTTGCCGGCTCGTGCCCTGCCGCGTGTTGTAGCCAGCGTCCTTGAGCTTGACTGCCACTGGTGCGGCCGTCTTGGTGGCTCCCTCTGCCTGGGCGAACACAGGCCGCCTGTAGGAGACCCGCTGGCTGCACGGGCGAGCCGTGAAGGCCCGGAGGCAAGCAGAGGACATGGCGCGACTGTCACCAACACTGGATTCAGCTCTTGTAGCGTCTGTAGCAGCGCGCAAAAACTATCAATGCCTCCGCCCGAATAATTCCGAGCTGCGCCGAACAGCGCAACTTCACTCATCTGGGTGATCAGACTGGCGCCACAGCGTGCGGCGGCAGCATGCTGGGCGCACTCTGCACACTGCATCCTTACAAACAGCCCTCATGCTGCACAATCAATCCGATCCGATTCACACGCTCAGCAGCTCCGCGCATAGTCCTCGCACGCCCGCTCAAAGTCCCGCATGCACCCCGAGGGCACCACATCCGCCAGCGCCGCCGTCAGCTTGCCGCCGCCCAGCTTGATCGGCACCTTCTGCAGCAGGTCTGTCAGGTCGTCCTCGCTGAACCGCCGCTCGCTCTGCAGCTTGGGGCCCAGCTGCGCCGCCAGGGCCTGTGCCAGGGACAGGCCCTTCCCCACCTTGACATCCTTCAAGTACCTGCATGGCCGGGAAGGTGCGTGGGTGGGCTCCGGAATGCGTGGGCAGCGTGCTGGGCAGGGAACGGCGCAGGTGAAGCAGCAAAGCAAGCCGCATGTGGCAGCTGCAGCCAAGGGAAGCACAGCCACGAGGCATGCTGCCCCCCTCTGGAACTTGGCACTCTCAGCAGCTGACGCCGCAGGATCGGGGGCGCGCCAGGCCCAGCTTGCCACACCTCCCCTGCCCACCACACGACCCTCATCCGGCAGCAGCAGTGCGGCCCTGCGCAGGCGGCCGCGCCACTCACAGGTGCCAGCCTGCCACATCGATGTACACGTCCCCCCCAATCTTGCCAGCCAGCTCGTCGTACGGCGTATGCCCGCCGCTGCTGCCCGCAGACGTCACGAAGCTGCTCAGGTCGAGCCAGGAGCCGATGGGGCTGGAGCTGTGGGCCCGCACGCAGCGGCGCTGAGCGGGGCGCGGCGGGGCGGCTGCAGGGGGCGGGGAGAGGGCAGCTGGGTGTGCGTGTCGGTCGCCTGGGGGAGAACTGAGGGTGCGACGGCGGGCAGCGAGAGCGCCGGCAGCGCAGGCGGTGTGCCCCCAACCCGGCGCCCCTGGCCCGCTGCGGGCGGCGCTGCTGGCTGATCGCACCCGTGGATCGGAAACACGTCCTGGGTGGCCGTGCTGGGCTTGCCGCAAGCCTGCACGAGAAGCGGGATGCCAGAGGAGCAGCCATACTGGTTTTCTCGTGCCGGTGAGCCCAAAATTGGGGAAAGTTGGCTCAATTGGTTGTGGGAGGCAGCGCGGAGCACATTTGAGGTCCCTGTTTTATGAAAGATTTGGCCAGGCTGGCAGGTTGGCAGCGCAGCGGTCGCGGTGCGACAGTGCCTCCCGCTGGGGCACTCTGGTTGCCTCAGCTGAGGTCCGCAGGGGGGTGCTGCTACCAGTGAATCAGTGAGTGATGCTCCAACGAGAATTTGGGGCGGCTCCAGTGCAAACGCCAGCGCGAAACTGGTGGAAGAAAACAGTCGGACTGTAAAAAGGCATGCGGCAAATGCACAGCATAACCGGAGGTTGGCTGCACGTTTAATGCGTGTAATCTATTCATTCTTCACGGCAAGGTTCAGCGCCTTATTACGGTCACTCTGGCCAAGTACGCTGCGGAGGCGACGGTACCCGCTGGAGCCGCCGGCGAGGCAAGCGTCTCCCGCCAATCCCTCCCTACAAACAATTTGCTGCGTTCCCAGCTGATCGCCCCCAACACCACCACCAGTTCAATGCACACGCTGCAGGGCCTTCCAGGAAGGCCCCCGGGCGCCTTCCTCTGTGCTTGGTGCGGGCGGCGGCGGCGGCGGTCCTGGCCCCGCCCAAACACAACAGGTGTTTAGGTAGCGTTGGGGCCCTGTTCGCGCAGCCCGCGTGCGGTCTCTTTGTGCCCTTCCGACCTCCTGGCCGCTGTGAGGGTGGGCTGGGGCCGCCGGAGGCTTTGTGGTGATGGACCCACCGACCGGTCTCTGAGAGGACGGGTCTCGCAGAGGATGACCCTTGCTGCGGGGCGCTGCTTGGTAATAGATGACGATGACGTGCACGGTGCACGGAAACAGGGGCGGGATGCAAAAGAGGCCCTTCAAGGGCATTTCATGCCCCGCATGTTTGCCAGATGTTTGCCGGCAGCTGGCTCTGACCCCTCCCTTTCAATCACGTGATTATTTCACTGGCATTCCCTATTTACAAGCTTGGGCATAGTGCACAGCCGCCCAGCGTGTGACACCATGAGAGTACGCTAGCCCGCTTCCCGCGGTGAGACACCATGGGGGTGTTCAGCGTTTTCACCCTTCGGCGTAACAACAGCTTCTCTCGGGATGGCAGCAGGCGGGGCAGAAGAGAAGGCAGCCTGCGGGTGAGTGGAGTCCTCTCCCGCCACGGGCTCGCGCGCTCGCGAGCTGCTGCTGCTCCTCCTCCTCCACCTTGCCAGGACAGTGCAGCGTCGTTTGGTTGGGAGCCCGCCGTCGCACAGGGCCACCCCGTGCTGCCGACTGGCGGGCCGGTGCCGGCGTGCGACCCGAGCGCGGTGCCCTGCTGCTCGTCTCTGGCACAGCCCCGGCCCTGGCCCCCAGCCACACCAGCCTGCAGCTCTGCGCCTGCCCGCCTCTGCCGCCCGCCGCAGTCCCCGGCGGCACGCCGGCCGCAAGCGAGCCTGGCCGCTTGGCCCGCTGTGTGCCACCCGCTCGCCCACCCGAGAGCCCGCCGCTGCCCCTGCTGCAGGGTGCGGGCGCCGAGGAGCCGTCCCTGGGCAAGGACTCCTCCACCTCCTCAGCCGTGTTCGACCTGGAGCTGTCGCAGCGCGCCGGCAAGGGCCCCGCGGAGCTGCTGGCGCGGCTGGCGCCACCTGGGCACGCCGCCGACGGCGGCAGCGCCCATACCGGCGGCGACCCCTCGGCGCACCTGCCCTCGGGCCTGCTTCAGCGCATCGTCTACCTCTCCCGACCGGTCATGGAGTTCGAGCTGGACGTGAGCGGCGCGCGCGGGGTGGCGGCCTGCCGCCTGCGCCAGTCGCGGCAGGCGCCGCCACGCCACGTTGCTGGCACGCCACGGCAGCGGCTCGGGCTCCGCCGCAGCCAGCCAGCCGCCTCCCTCTCGCCCCCTGCCTCACACCCCGTCCCCTCCCTCGCCCTCGCTGCTGTCGCCTGCCCCCCGCCGCAGCTGCTGCAAGACCTGCGGGCGCTGCGCCCCACCTGCTGCCGAACACCCGACGGCCAGCTGGACCTGTCTGCCCTGGTCACGCAGCTGCAAGGCCTGGGCTACGCCTGCTACCTAAAGCGCAACAACCCAGGTGCGGCAGCGCGGGGGCGAGGGCGGGGGCAGCAGCGGAGGGGGGGAGGCGCGCAGGGCCGCAGGCGCGCAGGCAGGCGCACCCTGTGTCGAGCAGGTGCCGCGGAACCTACGTGCTCGCCGGCGGCGGCTGCTAGTGCATCGCCCTCCCACACACACACACACCTCCCCCTCCCCCTCCTGCCCCCCCCTGCCGCAGCCGACCCCGCGCACCGCCACAACGTGCAGGCCAGCTGCCTGGAGAAGCTGCGCCACGAGTCGATCGTGTGCGCGGGGCGGCGCGACGGCAGCCTGGCGCACTGGTGCGTCGTGGACCCCCGCTTCCGCGAACAGTTTGCCATTGCGCAGCCCACCCCCGCCTACGACCGCTGCCTCAGGGCGGTGCCGCTGGAGTTTGTGGGGACGCCGCTGCGGCTGCAGGCGCTGGTGGAGGTGCTGTGCGGGCAGGTGGCCCACGCCTTTGCCTCCTCCCAGCGCACGCTGCCGCCCTGGCGCAAGCTCAAGTCCCAGCTGAGCAAGTGGTTTGACCCGGAGGAGATGCCGGGGCAGGCGCAGCAGGCGCAGCAGGCGCAGCAGGCGGCGGCGGCGGCGGCGGGCGCGCCGGCCCCGCTGCCCTCGCCCTTTGCCCAGGCGCCGCCGCTGCCGGCGGCGCCCGGCGCGGGCGCCGCCGGCGGCCCCGCCGCGGCCAGCAGGCAGTCGCTGCTGCAGCTGCAGGCGGCGGCGGCGCTGGCCGAGAGGCAGAGCAGCGGCGGCGGCAGCCAGAGCTTCTACGAGTCTCTGGCCATTCACCAGCAGTCGATGCGCCTGCAGCAGCAGCAGGCGGCGGCGCCGCAGCAGCAGCAGCCGCATCGGCGCCCCTCCCTGGAGCTCCTGCAGCAGCAGCAGGCGGCGGCGCAGGAGCAGGGGGTGGCGCGCGAGACGGCGGCATACCTGGAGGCGGCCTGGATGGCGGCGGCGGTGGCCGACGGCGCCCCAGGCACCCGCGCCGCCGACCGCAGCTACCGCCCGCGGCGGCGCGCGGGCGCGGTGCTGGGGCTGGGCCAGCTCGGCGGCGGCGCGGCGGGGCCGTGGGACGGCCAGGCCGCGGCCGGCGGCGGCGGCGGCGCCAAGCCGGGCCTGGGCTTTGGCGGCCTGGCGGCGCCTGCGATCGACCTGAACGCCAGCGGCAGCTGGAGCGATCTGTCCACTATTCTGGAGACGCGCAGCAACAGCGGGGCCAGCAGCCCCGCGGCGGCGGCCCTGCTGCTCGCCGCCAACTGCCAGCTGGGCGCCAGCGGGGCGAGCCGGCGATCTGCCGGCAGCGGCGGCAGCGGCGGCACGGTGCCCGCGCCCACCACGCTGCACCAGCGCGGCATGGGCCTGGCGCAGCGCTCCTCTGCCGCCGCCTCGGCCGCGGGCAGCTGCGGGGCGGCGGGCAGCGAGCAGGCCTGGCCCTCGCCTGGCGCCAGGTCAGCAGGCGCCAGCTCAGCAGCGCCCCCGCACCCCCTGCCGGCCCCCTCCAGCGCGGCTCCCTCCTGCCGCAGCTCCTGCGACGGCCCCAGCCTGCGCGCCGGCAGCGGCGAGCTGGGAGAGGCGGAGAAGCTGGGGCGGGTCAGCGGGGAGGGCGAGGGCGGCACCAAGAAGAAGGCGGTATCGCTGCTGGCCAAGAGCCTGAAGAGCGTCAGCCTCAAGCTGACCCCCGGCAGCCTCCTGCCCATCAGCACAGGTGCGGCGCCGGCGCCCGCCCGCGCAGCGCCGCTGGGACGCCGCAGCACGCCGCCCTGCCTCGCAGCCTGCCTGCCTGCATGCCAGCACCCGCCGGGCGCGCGCCGCCTGCCCGGTGGCCAGCATCCGACCCTCTGGCATGTCCCCGCCTCCCCTGCTGCCGCCTGCCGCAGTGCGCTGCCTGGGCCCCGCCGGCGCCGTCACCACGCAGCGCAGCTGGTCCTGGCGCTCGAGCGGCTCGGAAGGCAGCGAGGGCAGCCGGCGCGGGCGCCAGGTGCAGCCGCTGCCCTACCCCCTGCCATAGCCCGGCGGCGCCAGCCCACCGCGCTGCAGCACTGACCCTGCCCTGTGTTCGCACACCACTCCCAAGCTCCAGCCCACCCAGGCTGCCCCACTGCTTCCCTCCACGCGTGTGTCTGCCCGCACTGCACTGCCACCCCTTGAACAATGCCAGCTGCGCGCCAGCCAACAAGCTCCCAGGCCCACCGCCCATTGCCATTCACATATGTATCGCTTTCTTCCCCTCCAGCGCTGCTGCCGATGGCGCGGCCAGCCTCAGCACCCTGCCACCCCCGCGGGCCCGCATTTCGGCCGCCACCCTCTGCCTCTTCATTCCCTCTGTCTCCTACCCTGCGCTTTCCATTGGATCTTGAGAGCTGCATGCACCGCCCGTGCGTGCTGCTCTGCCCCAGGCCCATCCCTCTCCACCTCTGCCCCGCCCACCTGTGCATCAGGCATTCCCATTCTACGCTTGTCGACCGCACCTGCACGCATGCCTCGCCCAAACGGGCGCCCCACCGACTGACCCCGGCCCTCCGGGCTCCCCTGCCTTGCCAGTGCCTCGCTGCGTCCCTGGCCTGGCCCCTTCGGCACTATGCCCTTCCGCCGTCCCCTCTCAGCCCTGCCCTTTCATTGCATCGCAGAGAAATGCACCCGACCCCAGCCATCAAGGAATTCTTTGTTCAGGGCCGCACCCCAGCCGCCTGCTCCTTTTGAGTCCCCCTCTCCTCCTTTTGTGAGACCTGTTGGGGGTGTTTTGCAGGCAGCATCTGATTTCTGCCACAATTTTGACCAGCGCGAATAATCTTGGGGCCCTTACCCGCCCGCTAGAACTAGGCCAGCACAGGAGTGTAATGCAGCAGCCGCAAGATATGGGAGAGCGGAGACGAGGGGGATGTTGGTACCTTACAGGAGGGCAGGTCGCCGCAATAGCTGGGGAGGGGACTGCCTTGCAGCAGGTGCAACTGTGGTGCCAGGGGTGTGACTTTCGTGTTGCATCACAGATGCGAGTTCTGGAAAGGATAAACATGCAGCAAGGGAAACTGAAAAGTGAACAGAGCCGCCGCTGCGCAATGCAGCGCCGCATGAAAGGATGAATTGCTCGGCGTGCCGCAGGAGGCTCGGCGTGCCGCAGGAGGCTCGGCGTGCCGCAGGAGGCTCAATGAATGAATGCTAAGCGCTGAGTAATCAGTGAAAGGGTATCACAAATCTGTATGAAAAAAGTCGAGGCAAGATGCGGCGCAGCGCTTCTCAGCGCTCGCCCGGCAGCAGCGCGAGGACGGCACAGTGCAGCCGCAGGCCCGCAGGCGTATGGGCATATCGTGTTGCCAGGTGTTGTTCAATTATCCAGGGATAATGATGTGATGATCAGGGGGCGCCGGTGCCAGCACGCCCATCTACAGCGCTGCACCAGACATGTACTTGGCCTGGAATGCCGCCCAGGTGGCGATGCCCTCGGCCGCCAGCCGTGCCTTGTCCAGGCTCAGGGCGGGCGGCCTGGACGTGGCCGTGCCCACCTGCAGCACACAGGCAGAGATGGGGAGGCCAGCGGCTGAGCCTCGCTGCCGGCAGCGAATGCAGTGTGCAGGCAGTTCAGGGCAAGGCCTCAGCATCGTGCCGCGCCAGCTCAGCTGGCGCCGGAGCGGAGAGGAGCTCACCTGGTACATCAGGCTGCCGTCCAGCAGGGCGCCCCGTACCTTCCTCCACAGGAAGGTTTGGACTTTGGTTGCCATGCTGTCGGTGCGCGAGTTGTTCTGCTCCGCCAGCCTCTGCACGCGGCACGGAACGCAACGGCGTGAGGCAGGTGTGTGAGCGCCGAGCTGGCAGCTGGGGAGGAATGCCTCATGGTGGGCTGGCAGTTTGCTGGTGCGGGCCCAAGGGCCCCACTCACCCGCTTGTCGATAAAGCCCAGGTGGTACAAGAAGAGGTCTTCTTCGGGGATGTTCATGCCGCCCTTCCGCCGGTTCTGCGGCAGCCCGGTGCGCGGGCGGCTGCTGGAGCTGCCGCTGCGCCGGCCCCTGGTCTTGGCGATGGGCTGGGCAGGGCCGGGCACCTCGGCTGCGCCTCTGCTGCTTGGTCTCGAGCCCTGCTTTGCCCGCCTGGCTGCCCTGCTTGCTGCCAGCGCATGCCCGACGCCCGCGTCCTGCTCCTGTGTGGCTGCTGGCGGCGCAGGCGCAGCTGCGGCCACTGCTGCTGCTGCGGTGCTGGCGCTCCGCAGCTTGAGCCTCAGCTTAACAGTGGTAGGAGGCGCCACTTCATAGCCGTGCCAGATGCGCCGCTGGGACCGCGCCATGCTGGCGCGGGCGGCGCGAGCGGCGGCGGCAGCGCGCCCAGCCCTCTGCTCCACCTCCTCCTCCTCCTCCTCCTCCTCCTCCTCCGTCGAGGGCATCTCCCCCTCCTCGCACTGCTCCATGATCGCCCCCAGGCGCACCATGGTGGATGCGGCGGCCGTACTGCAGTGGGCGGACTCAGCGGCCAACATCGCAACGTCGCCTGCCGCAGCGCCTGCCACCGTTGCTGCCGCCGCCACTGCCGCCGAAAGCGGCTCTGTTGGGGCCTCAGCAGGGGGACCGCCGAGGCAGAAGCCCTCCATGAGGATGTCGTCGATGTCGAAGGTATCGTCCGTGGCGGCTGCAGGCGGCGGACACACTTTGGGCGCAGCGCCGCGGCCGGGGCTGGCAAAGAGCGGGTCGCCTGCTGGGTTGATATAGGACAGGAACTCATCATCGATGCAATTGACCTCCACGGTCCTTGTAGTCCAGTAGGATTCGGTTCTCATGTCCAGAGGGGCGTCTGCAGGCAGGGAGGCGGGCAGAACCAAGTGCAACACATTTTTGGCGCCTCGTGCCTGCCGCCAATTTGTCTTTCTGGCCGGCGTCCTGCCCAGGCCCCGGAACGCGCCGCCTGCTTGCTAAATGACATCAGGGGCATATAGCAGGTAATTCAGCGCGGGTTGGGGTCACCAGGCGTTGTGTAGCTGCATGCCCGCGGAACAACAATCGTCAGACTCGGCTCGGACTTGCCGTCCTCAAAGACGCCGGGAAGCGCAAAACAATCATTTGTGATCGCTGGGAATGCAATTGGGACGAGCGGGGGGGTCATGGGCGCGAGGGATACTGAAGTCTTACACTTTTGGCACTTCATGAGGGGGCCTGGCGGCCAAGTGTCAACGCGTTTCCTGGGACAAAGAGCGATTTTGCAAGTCCGGAACGCGAGGATGTCTCAAAGGCAAGTGGCCGAGCAGAGAATTGATTATCCTGAGGAACCGGCGGGGAGCTGCAGCATCATGCTGACGGCATGTCATGTGTGGGGGCACGTGCCCGGCTTTCCTCCCGGGTGACAATGTGAGCAGGCAGGCTGTGTGGCTGCCACCCTGCCCCTCATGCACTCACCCCCGCGCCATCGACGATCGGCGCCGCCTGGCCTCGCCCGCCCGCTCCCCGCTGTGCCCCTGCTCTCCAGCCGCCTCCGGCTCGTGCGACAAGCTGCGTTTCCTGCCCGCCTTGCCCTCAACCGCAGCCGCAGCCAGCTTGCGCTGCAGGTACTGTTGCAGTGCCACCGCATTGTCGTGCTGTGTGACCTTGGCACCGTAAACCAGAGTCAGCTGCAACCGGAAGTGGGGCGGGGCAGCAGGCGGCGAGCCAGGGCGACACTGCCTGCTGGCACCTGGGCGGTCGGGCTGTTGCATTCCTGCGCCTGCGCATCCGCAGCGAGGAAGTGGCTGCTTTGGCGGGCAGCACAGCGTGCACACACCGGTTCTGCGGCTGCACCTTTGCCCCGCGCGCATCCTCTACCAGCGGCTGCCAGGCCTCCGCCTCCAGCTCCACCCAGTAGCGCTGCCGGAACTGCTGCCACTCGTCGGCATGGGCGTGAAACCACTTGCGAAGCTCCGTGCTGGGTGCCACGCCCTTGCTCCAGGTCTGCGCATTGGGGTGCCGCGGCGGCGGATGGACACACGCACGAAAGCTGGGTGGTGGGGAGGAGGCCGCGGACGCCTTGGCGGCCCACAGTGGGCCTTTGCTGCCTCGGAGCGGCCTGGGTGGGCCTGGGTGGGCCCACCTGCAGGGGCAGCGCCTCCTTCTTGATGCCTCGAGGCCACAGGGCATCCACCAGCACCCTGCGGCCGTCGCCGGGGGTGGCCGCCTCGTAGGCCCGCTTGAGCTGGATGCTGCTGGTGGCGGCCATGTGGCTGCCCAGTTACACTTTGTGGGGAAGAAGGGCTATCAGGACTGAGTCCAAGGAGGCGGCAGTCGGCGCCAGGCCTGAGTCAGCATGGCTCCATCTCCCTGGCCTCGCATCTTAAGCCGCGAATCGAAAGAAGCTGGGTGTTTGTCACGCTCCGCTGCCCACCTTCTTGATGCCTGGCCTTTGCCACCTCGCCGTTGCGCCTGCCCGCCGCCCGCCACCCCCTGCCCGCCAGCCTGGCGGGTGTCATCGGCGGTGGATTCAAGGCCCCATCGAGAAAGCTGATACGGCAAACTTGATCTGCCCAAAGCCGAGGCCCTGTGCCCCTACCGACACCACTAGCAGTGCGCTCTGCAGCGGCTAGGGCTCAATGCTTGCGTTTCGGCCTGCATTGCGCTAGGCAGCCTCATGCAGCCCTGGGCAGCGTTGCTGCTGCGGCGGGGAGTGCAGCCCCCAGCAACAACGTGCTGCCGCTCAGCTGGGGCCCTGGAGCCCTGGGATGGGCTGCAGCACGCGCTCAGCACGCTGGCGATGGGCGTTACAGCAGCCGCCGATCCGGTTCCGGGAAGGCAGCAGCGCGGTGCCGCCACCAGCGCCGCCGCCGCCGCCCAGCAGCACGCCCCCTCCAGCAGCGGCCCAGACGCTGCGCAAGCCGCGGAGCACGCCACCGCGCTGCACCGGCTGCAGCAGCAGATGCGGGAGGCGCTGACGCGGGGGCGGTGCGGCGAGGTGCTGCGCCTGCTGCCGCGGGACGGCGGCGCCTCGCCTGCCGCCACCCGCTGGAGCCCGCAGCAGCGCGCCTCCCTGTATGATCTGGCCCTGCGTGCCGCCGCCGACTCAGCCGATCTGGAGGAGGCGAGGCGGCTGGTGGGGCGCATGTGGCGGCGCGGCGTACCGGTGGGCACGGTGGCGCACACCGCCATGCTGCGGGCGCTGTGCAGCGTGGGGCGCCACGCCGACGCCCTGACCTACCTGGCAGGCGTGCCCACCAAGCGCCAGCGCACCCACATGTACACGCTGCTGATGCGGGCCTGCAACGAAGCAGGTGGGCGGCAGCGGCAGGGGAGGCGGAGGGTGCTGGCAGCCTGGCAGGGCTGGCGGCACGGCTGCACGACTGGGGCTGGAGAGAGGGACGGCATGGATGCTGAGCCGGGCGCCTGTTGGCCCTCGGAGAGATGCCGGCCCAGCCCCTCAGCATCACCGCTTGGTGATGTGCATGTGTGCGTGTGTGTGTGCGTGTGCGGTGCAGGGGCGCTGGGGGTGGCGCGGGAGTGCCACGACATGTTCCTGCGGCGGCGCCACACCCCCGACGCCCGCCTGGCGGCCGAGGTGGTCATGCTGCTGGGGCGCAGCGGGGAGGTGGCGGCCGCGGAGGCCGCCTGGCGGCACGCGCTGGGCGCGGCGCGGGGCGAGGAGGAGCACGCGTGCCTGCACGCCGCGCGCGCGGCGGCGCTGGCCCGGGCCGGCCAGCTGCCGGCGGCCGTGGCGGCGCTGGAAGCGATACTAGACCGCTTTGCCGACCTGCTACCTGTGGATGCATCCTTCTCTCTAGACAGCGGCGACAGTGGCGGCGGCGACGGCGACGGCGACCAGCAGCGGTGGCGGGAGCAGGCGGCCCACCCGCCGCCGGTGCGGTACATGCAGCACGCGCGCAACGCGGTGCTGGCGGCGGCGCAGGCGGCGGGGGACGCGGCCGCCGTGCGCCGCGTCACGGGGCTGGCCACCCTGCGGGGGCTGCCCCCAGACCTGGCCACCTACCATTCCCTCCTGCGCGCCGCCATCGCGCACGGCGACGGCCTGGCGGCGGTGCAGGTGCGGCGCCATGCCCAGGGCCTGCCGCGCCGCCGGGCCTGGGCTGGTCCCTGCCGCGCAGCTGCGGTCGCAGATGCGCCCGCCGCGCCGCCGCCCGCCTCGTCGGCCATGCCACCCCCGCCCTGCCGCTGCCGCTGCCCGGTGCAGGAAGGCGTGGAGGAGCTGCGGAGGCTGGGCATGCGCCCCACCCGAGAGACATACTCCATCCTGCTGAGGGCCTGTGCCGGTGAGCGGCCCTGGCCGGGCCTGGGGAGGCCTGGGGAGGCCTGGAGGAAGGGGAGGCCTCGGCGCCCCGCTCCTCCGCAGGCCAGCTGATGCCGGCTGGTGCAGCTCAGCGAGGGGTGTTCCTGTGCCTGCATGCATGCATGCATGCATGCATGCACGCACGCGTGGCAGCCTGCCTCCAGCGGGCACGGCGTGGCCGCAGGCCGGGGCCGACCGCCGCCGCCCCCCGGCCACCTGCGCCCCTGCCGTGCAGTGGAGGGCGACCCTCAGGCCGCCCAGGCGGTGTTTGATGGCATGCCCGCCAGAGGGGTGTCGCAGACGAGGGTCCACCACAACGCCCTCCTCCACATCTACTCTCACGCGGGAGACCTACAGGTGGGCCCGGGCGAGGTGTTGCCACTGGGAAGCCTCCCGGGGCGGCTGCCCGGCAGCTGCCACGCAGCGGGCTCGACACGTCGCCGCCAGCCTGGCACGGCGCCGCCCCTTCCCAGCTGATCCCAGGCGCAGCAGGGCCGCCGGGCCGCAGTGCTGAGGGTGGCGAGGGTGGCAGCTTTGGTGTGATGAGGGCACTCCTGTCCGATTTACGGCTCCCATCCTTGCTTTCTTCCCCGCGCGCTGCGCTGTGCAGGGCGTGGATGGCGCGTACCGCCGCATGCGCGCCGCCGGCTTCGCCCCCGACGCCTCCACCTTCCAGGCTCTGCTGTCCAGCATCAAGCACTGGGCGGCGCTGGAGAGTGAGCGGGGCTGGGAGGGGAGCCGCTGCGGGTGCTGGATTTGGCTGCTCTGCTGCATGCGGCACCTGGCAGCCGCAGCCGCAGCAGCAGCAGCCCCAGCAGCCCCAGCAGCATGTCCTCTCTGGGCTTGCCCTGTGCGCGTGCCCACGGGCTGGCCCCTACGCTGCCGCCTGCGCCTGCCTGCAGCCGCGGCGCGGGTGGAGGGCGAGGGCCCTGCCCCGCAGGTGGAGCGCACGATGCAGCGCAAGGCGGCGGGGGCCCTGCTGGCGGGCTGGGTGGCCGACCTGGACGCCGCGCGCCCCTGCCAGCTCACCCCCGCCCTCTTCACCACGCTGCTGCACGCCTACAGCCAGTGCGGGGAGATACACAGCGTACTGCTGCTCATGCGGGACGCCTGCGGCTGCCAGCTGGCGCCGGACACCAGCCGCCAGCTGGATGCCGCACCCTGCGGCAGCAGCGGCAGCCGCGGTAGCGGCAGCAGCGTAGCAGGCCGCGCGGCAGCGGCCGACGTGCCGGCAGCCAATGCAGCGGCAGGCGGCGGGGCGGGAGGGGAGGCGCGGGTGGCGCGCAGCAGCGGAGACGGCGAGGCAGCACCGCTGGCTGCTGACGTGCCGCCCGAGGGCGGCGGCGGCACAAGGAGCGGGGCCGAGGCAGCCGGCAGCAGCGGCGGCGGCGGCACCGCACCGCGGGCCGGCCCGCTGAGCCAGAGGACGCTCCAGCGGGCGCACCTGGCTCCCAGCCTGCCTGTCTTCAACGCCGCCATCGGCGCCTGCACTCGCGTGGGGCGCTGGCACATGGCAGACGCGGTGGCCCTCCTGCACTCCATGATGGTGGGCGGCGGCTGGCCCTGCTCCCATACGCCCGCCAAGCTGCCTGCTGCTGCCGGCCAGATGCCGCGCCTCGCCGGCAAAGGGATGCACCCCCGTCCCTGGCTCTGCTCCCAGCATGCCTTGATTGCTGGATGGAGTGCGCTGCATGCGCCCGTTCACTGCCCGCGCGGATGCTCATGCAGCGCCAGCGTCAGCGCCAGCTGGGCATGAGCCACGATCCTGTGCCGGTGAACGTGCGCGCGAAGCGCACGACACCCAGCGACGCAGCAAGGCACGGCGCTGGCAGGCAGTCAGCCTCACCTGCCGCAGTACCTTAAGTGGTGATCCCCCTGTCCTCGTTGATGCCAGCGACACCTGTCACGTGTCTCTGCCATCAATGAGGGCAGGGGCATCAGCACTGAACGCTCTCTGAGGCAGGCATGGCTGGCTGCCTGCCAGCGCCGTGCCCGCCTGCTCGCCCCTCTGCTTCTGCCAACCGCCTGCCTGCCCGCCTGCCTGCCCGCCTGCCTGCTTGCAGAGCGCAGGGCTGTCCCCAGACGTCCACACCTACACCTCCCTCATCTCCGGCTGCGCCTTTGGGCGGCAGGCGGCGCTGGCGCGCGAGCTGTGGCGACAGATGGAGGAGCGGGGCATACGCCCCAACATAGTCACCCACAACGCCATGGTCAAGGTGTGGCTGGGGTGGCGGTGGTGGTGGTGTGTGGGTGGTGTGTGTGTTGTGCATGTGTGTGTGTGTGCGTGTTTGTGCAGTCTGTGGATGGCACGTCTGCCTGCTGCGGCGCTCGCTGCCGCGCTGCGTGGGTGCCCCTGCCGGACCACACACCCTGCCCTACGCCCCTGCACCGCCTGCCGCTGCGCTGCCCTCCCTGGCCGTACTGAGGCTGGCGGGTGGCTGTACCGCGGCTGTACCGCGGCTGTACCGCAGGTGGAGCTGTTCACGTATGGCGTGGATGCGGGCACCGCCTACCTGCGCCGCATGGTGCAGCAGGGGCTGGACCCCGACCGAGCCTCCTGGAGCACGCTGCTCGTGGGTGAGATGCAGGGGGGTGGTGTGTGTGTGTG